AGGTCACATGTGCTTGCAGATTTGTACCAGATTCCACTTTCTTCTCACCAAACTAAACAACGCAACAACCACCACAAAACACAGCCAGGAGGCAGCGTGAGCTCCAGGCACCAGCCAACCTCAAATACTTCCTGTTCCAAAACGTAAGAGCAGTGTCTGGAAATACGGCCCCTTTGGCAGTGTGGTGGTCAAACACCTGCTTAGATCTGGAAATCCAACGCTGAAGCCAAATGTGAATTTTGCGTTATTTTGGAGAGTTTCTCTACAGTTTCTAGTTAACCCCCTTTAAGGTTCCAGAGTTTTCTTTTAAAAATGGTGCTTTTGAAATACAACGTGAAAAAGAGCCTCCCTAACTCTAACAGATACACGTTTCCCAGGACACAGGTACAGAGGGTGATGTAAGCGCCAGCCTATGCCTCGGGAAACTGGAAATGCTTCTCTTTAGTCCAGTGTTCCTGTCTTAACATTGGCCTCTACCTCCCCTTTAGGCCGATGGAGGGGCATGGCATTTTCTGAGGATGTCTTTCTCCCCAGTAGCACAGCCCTCAGGGCAGACATGTATCCTGCCCTATAATGTATAAGCTGAGCGACCCTGGGACAGTGGCCACGGGATCCGAGGCTCTGGCTTTCCTTCTGTAGGAGCAGGAGAGGGTACAGGAGCCGGGGCACTCGGTCCCAGTGGAGAGCAGCGCCGTGAGGGCCATAAGCCCTCAGCATGCCATCTGGGTAACAGTAAGTCCTTCATCCACACTTCCTGTTGTTAGGACGTTTTTTGTTTGCCTCCAGTTTGCTCCTGGATGCCTGAGGTAGGTATCCTCCCCGAAGCACCCCTCTCCTCCATCGAGGTTGTTGAGCAGCTGCAAGGCCTGGCTGGGAGCCAGCTCAACCTCCAGCCCTGGAACCCAATAGCCACCACTTTAGTGCAAGTGACTTTTTTTCTACAATAAACACGCATTGCTTTTATAATCAGGAAGGTGGGGGGGGAGCTTTAATTACAGTGATTCTGAAAGGAATGACTGAGTAGTAATAGTTTTCAAGTTCCCCATAATTCAGCCCTTGGGCACAGTTGGGTTTGTAATCCTGTATGACATTTTGCTGGTCTCTCCTGGTTGACTAATTCCATACTTTCTCCTCTGTCTTCAAACTGCAACATCTCCCCAGCCTAACTCTGAGTCAATGACTCTGCTTGCTCTCTCCATGGGAAAACACAAAGCTCTGGCAGAGAACCGGGGGTCACGAGCTCCCGCCCCCACCCCACCCTGCCACCATGTCTCCACCTGGGATCTGCCTCTGTGTCAAGTCTCCTCCAAGGGTGGCCCTTCCCCTCACCAAGCGGACAACAACTGTCAGGAAGGGGGAAGAGCAAAGCCACGTCCACAACTGTGACAGTCCACTTACTTAAAACACAAAGAAATAGGAGGCAAAGATGGAATAATACTAACAACATGTCTGTTACATCTTAGAGGCAGAAAAATGGTTATGTGTTTTCTTTTATGATAGAGCTACTTTACAATTAAAAATTTTAAAACATTTTAAAAAAGAAAGAGCAAAATCTACAGATAAAAAGTTATGAGGGAAGTTGAAGAAATCAAAGCTTATCTAAGACAAATGGCATTTTGGCTTTTTCCTCCTCCAATACAGGTGACAATATCCCAGACCCAAAAACCAAAATCCAAAATGCCTCCAAATCCAAAACCTTTTCTCAGTGACACGCAAAGGCAATGCTCACTGGAGCATTTCTGATTTTGAATTTTTAGACTTAGGTTGCTTAACCAGTAAGTATAATGCAAATATTCAAAAACAAACAAAACAAAACAAAACAAAAAAACCCAAATCCAAAACACTTTTGCTTCCAAGCATTTCAGATAAGAGATACTCAACCGGTATAGACTTTCCCAAAGCACGTGACACGCTCACCTGACGTTTCTGAAATCTCAAGCTGGCACACGAACACATGGTATGAATAATGCTTTTCTGTTTGAAGTGCGGATTTATGAGGACTAAGTGTATTGAAAAAGAACCATAATCAGAAAAAGACTGTGTTGGGCATAACAGCATCCACACGAGGGAATGGTCAGGACATGGGACAGATCAACAGTGGGGAGGGCTGCCCAGGCGCTCTTCCTGCTCCGAGTACACGCTCATCTGTTCAAAGGGAACGAGCACTCACGGTGAATGCTGGAGTCATTCCTGGTGTGTGTGTGTGTGTGTGTGTGTGTGTGTGTGTGTGTGTGTGTGTGTGTGTGTGTGTGTGTGTGTGTGTCTGTTTCCACACCGTCAAATGTCAAAATGTCAAAAGAATAGTTAAAATTAAATTCAATCATTAGGAAATGTATAACAGCAATTGGGGATTGATATAAAAATATACCTAAAAATGTTTACACTCCCATATCATAAAAATGTGGCTTTAAAGACATTTTCCTATCAATTTTCAAGTTCTCACCTAACCTGAGATGAATATTTCTTTGTAGTATTTTTCAGTGGGTTGAAATGACCAAAACGCAGTTTGAAAGAACACGCTTCACATGAGAGGCTTCTAAGGCACAGGCCACTGTGCAGGCTCAGTGACGGAGGTCACACAGGACTGCTGCACACGCATGCATCCTTTCTCTGCCCACTGTTCCTGGGCATCGCTGCTACGTTATTTAAAATTACTCTGCAAACACTCCCACCATGCCCGCCAGCCCGTGCACGAATATGCAATAAATGCCAGGAGACATGGCACTCTCTTTGACTCAGACCAATGGGAACCGGGTTGCGAGAGAGGTAAATGGCCAGCGTCAGTTTCACGGGGCAGCCTTCCCAACATGCCACCTCTCAAGTCCGGCGGTTCACCCCAAAGGAAGAGAATGAGGGTGACAGGCTGCAGGAGAGGTCCAGGCCTTGAACAGGGATGTGAAGGCTACATCACACACATTCCTCAGTACTAGTCAACGGGACACTGAGATGACATTTATTGAGGAACTACTAAAAAGCTGACACATACGTTTCATCTTTGTGAGAACTCTGTAGAGAGGCATTATCATCCCCGGCTAAGAAATGAGAAAACAAAACCGAGCTATTCAGCAACTCGCCTAAGCTCCCACGCAAACGGGCCGCGGAGGCGGGCCCAGGTGCCCTCTGTGGGAGGCTGAAGCCCCAGCCTGTCCTCACACCAGGCTGGGATCCCACAGCAGGTCTCAACAGGCAATGCGCGCTTCCCAAGCCAGAAAATTAATTTGAAGTCCACCGTTTTTGGTTCACTTGGAAACTATGCATGTTTACCATCTTTTCCCAGCCCATCAAGCTATCAGAAAATCCTCTTAACCTCATGCCACGCCTGGTTAAACACAAGCAAGTTGTCTCAAAAATGCCCCAGCCACAGGATTGTGTTTACATGAAAACAATCCTGGCAAAGTGAACTTGAGAGAAAGTGAAAGCCAGAACTGTTGACGTAAGCCAAAAGTTTAAAATTGTGCATCTTCATCTGGTATTTAAAACTCCCCACCGCTCCCCCAGGCTCCAGTGTGCGGGGGTAAAAAATAAGCTGCTCGATCAGTAATAATGCAGAGTAAAATCAAGGTGTAAAAAACAGAAAAGAGTGCCCCGAGGATCCCCCAAGAGGCCAGGGCACCGTACCCCACAGACACGGAGAGCCTTCCCGGAGCAGGGCAAAGACACCTCCAGAACGCCGGGTTTGGAAAATGACAGAAAACCTGGCTGACCTGGGAGAACTGCAAGGCAAAGAAAGAAATGTCTTCTTGGAAATGTTCGGCCTGGCTCCAAGCTGGCTTCAACTTCCTTTCAGGGGTGATGAGTGGGTCTAACTGGGGCACCAGAGGGCACAGGTGGCAGCAAAGGCTGTCAAGAAAGGCACAGCTGAGCCAAGACCAGAGACCCAGGCCTTAGGACGCAGTCCCCGCAAGGCGCGGCCACACTGCCCTGCAGGATGCATGTGGAACGGAATGCTGGTTCCCTCAGGCCCACGCCTTCAGGAGGTTCGGGTTTTATTCTGGGAGAGGCCACATGCCTGGGAAGAATGGTAACCTCACAAGGAGTTTAAACCCTGGAGGATTCTACATGGAAACAGGGGTCTTACAGACAAAGAAAAGTGGGAAAAGTCTGTTTCCATGGCCTACAGACTTGGAGTACTTTAAAATGTTACCTACAAGGCCAGGCGCAGTGGCTCACACCTGTTAACTCCAGCACTTTGGGAGGCCGAGGCAGGCAGATCACTTGAGGTCAGGAGTTCAAGACCAGCCTCACCAACATGGTGAAACCCCATCTTTACTAAAAATACAAAATTAGCCAGGTGTGGTGGCACATGCCTGTAATCCCAGCTAGCTGGGAGACTGAGGCAGGAGAATCGCTTGAACCCGGGAGGTGAAGGCTGCAGTCAGCCGAGATCACGCCGCTGCACTCCAGCCTGGGCGACAGAGTGAGACTCCATCTCCAAATAAACAAATGCATAAATAAATAAATAAATAAATATTACCTATGGAATGAAATATTTCTGATCACTACCGATACTTTTTTTGTTAAGGAGCTGAGAGGTGCTTGGAAGACAGAGGATGCCACTGACTCATTTAACCAACAAAAGCTGGTGGCAATGGACAAGGCGTGGTCTGTCCATGGTCGCATGGCCAGTGGGACCCAGCCCCGCCCACTGCAAGCTCAGAGGACTTTCCTACAGGTCCTCACGGGGATCAGGGCCAGGGCTTACACCCAGACCAAGCAGTCGGTGCCTTTGGGAAGAACACATCCTTTAGCACCAGAGAGGAAACAAAAAAAAAAAAAACACAAAAGATCAGCGTTTCTCTACCATTCACATGTCATGGAGCCATTTCATTTCCAAAAAGGATGGCCTCGTTTACCATCAGGAAGAACACCCAAATTCAGTGAGCCTGATAACCCACACCTCCCCCGTCGCCTTCTCCGCACTCCTCCAGTAAGGCAGAGCCTTTGAACACCTCTGGTTCAGCGCAGGGCCAGCCGGACAGGGCAGGGGTGGGCAGACTTACCCGTGCTGGGCATGTGGTTCACGCGGGCAGGATTCAGCAGCTCCACTGGCTGGTCTCGGCCAGAAAGTCCATCTGGAGAAGAGAGAAGGCATTGGCTTCAGAAACTGCGTACATTTCAGCCAACATACTTTACGCTGGGAGTCTGCAGGGAGTAACTCCCCAAACAATGAAATGCATGTGTCCTTCCTACTTTTAAAGGGGGATACTTTCAGCGTCGTCATAGATTATTTGTATTTGCCAAAGAAAATCACAGATCCTTTGTAGAATAATCAAAATAGCCTCCTACTGAGATATGGCAAACGCCCGTTTCTGGCCTAAGAGCCGCTGGCTGAGCAATTTGGGTTTACTTCTGCTCAGCAACCACATTATACCCACTCGTGCTGATCAGAAGTCGGCTTTTCTGCAGACCACAAGCATTAAGATAATGAAAAGAGAAGAGCAGCTCTTCTTCCCAGATAGTGACAAATGGTCTGGACACTCACAGAAACACGGCACAGGGAGCACTCCAAACCCACCGGGTGTGCGGACAGGGAAGGAGGCGAGCTGAGGCCACTCCAGCCTCAAACAGGCATGGAGAACGCTTCACCAGGTGTTCTCAAGGTACAGAGTCCTTTCTTTTAAATCCACGTTTAAACTGTATTCAGGAGCTGTTTCTATCTATTCAGACTCACTGCAAAGATGAGACTGGAACCCACCCACCACCTAAACCTGGCGCAGGCTGGATTTAGACTGCCTGGTATTTTTCTATATTCTCCCAAGCAGAAAGGAAAGAAAACTCTGGCAAGATTTCCAGGAATCACACTTTTCTTTTAAAATTAGCTTCTGACAAGTGGTGTAAAATGCCCTGCAATCATGTGCATATCATTACAGACATGCACGCAGAGGTCATTTTCCTTACTAAGCGAAGGAGAAGAGCACCAGTTTCGCAGGGCAGTCATGGAACTCTGTAGACACAAGTTTTAAAACAGGACAAAAACGACTAACATCAGGTCAAATGACTGCAAAAAAAAAAACAACCCCACTTTTTATCCAAAATAGATAATTCCTAGCATCGCCAACCCCTGCGTGTCCTTGGAGATATTCAGTATCCAAGAACGGAAACAAGGGTGCCAGGAGATTGGAGGGCACACTCTTGAGATCTGAAGCCCATCCTAAGGTGGAGTTGGGAAAGTGTGAGGCCAGCATGGACCTGCAGGAGCTCAGCAGGTGAGGCTGCTCTTGGGTAATGCAGAGATCAAACGTGGGAGCCAGAAATAAAAATTAAACTTAAGACAACAACAAAAAACCATGGGTACCTCTCCAACCAACCAGCAGCTCCTCCCAAGTCTCAGCAACTCTTAAGGTTTCAAAACAGAAGACAGACACTGGGCATATTTGGGGGCAAAACAGTTCTGCTTCCCTGGGTCAAGAGAAAGACCGGCAGGTCACAGTTACACCTTAGAAGCAGCCACCAGACCTAAGCAGTCACCCCAAGCCTTCACACATTCCAGGGCTTTCTCAAAGAACACGGCCGCCTGGGAGATGGCCTGGATGCTGAATTGTAAACATGATGCCATGTCTCACGAGAACCTTCACTGCAACTCAGAAGGAGACCCCAGATAGTGGTGGAAAGTACTTTTCAAGCCTTTTTTTCCTAAAAATAAATAAATGCTCATTGTAGAAAAAAATAAATTCAAAAAGGTGCTTGTACATATGTATGTGTGTATATGTATGTGTGTATGTGTGTGTATTTAACCCAAATCCCGCTATAAATACTTTCAGAAATAGCAGAAGGCCCTTTTGAAGATCTCAATGTAGCTGTAGTTTTCCAATGGGAAGGGGTCAAGAGGAGGGTGCTTGGGTGGACCACCCTGGTCAGGGCTCTGCACCAGTTCCTAGGAACCAATGCCTGTCCCCAGAACCGCTTCCCCTGTAGTCAGCTCAATGCCCACCCTTAGCTTCCCACTCAGCAAAAGCCCTGGAACCAGAAAGTTTGGAAACCAAGAAGGCCCCCAGTGGTGAGCAGCAGCGGTGGGGCCAGAGTCCCAGCTCACATGAAGCTCCTTCTTGAGTTTAGAAGTGAACCGCTTATCCCTGAGCCCAAAAGGCGAATCCCTCCAGCACCAAGTTCATAAATAAGGCCTAATTACAAGTTACTTTTACTACGCTGAAGCAGGAAGACACATCAGACCTCAGTGCAACCGACTCGACTTGTAAGTCACGACATGTGGCGTTCCTGTATCCACAAGCATCACTCGTGTGTATCAGATCAAGGTGCAGCTTAGTGGGTCTTGGCTCACCTACATTTCTGGGCACTGGGCTGGGCCGGGTCCCACCTATCCTTTAAGAAGACATTGATCATGCGCTTGCACCAGCTGGCACACCAAGGAGAATGCCGCTCGATAACATCTGCGGAAACCAGACCTTGAACTTCACATGTCCCGTCCTGTACACTGACGGGTGGGGTGGTTTCTGACACCAGCCAACTGGTACCAACTGGGTGTCCAATGATCCAGTTCCACCCTGACAATAACCGCCCAGAGCTAGCACACACGCCACAGCTTAGGGGCTCAGGTCGACAAGGCTGCCCCCATTTCAGACACAAGTCCTGGGCCTCCTGGACTCCTAAAGATCAGCTATAAACCAGGAGTTCCCACAAGCCCCTCTCAGGTTCTGGAATTTGCTAGAAGGGCTCACAAAACTCAGAAAAACACTTCACCATGTTGACAGGTTTATTGTAAAAGATGCAAATAAACAGCAACATGAAGGCAGGGTCTGGAGGGGTGCTGTGTGCAGGAGCCTCTGTCTCAGTATCACTGGGGTCGCAGGTGAAGCTGAACATTCTGCCCCTCTCGTCTCTGGGTCGTGATGACCAGCCCCATTCTGAGGCTACCCAGGGGTCCTGCCCTAAGTCACTTCATTAGCATAAACCCAGAAGCCCATAAGAAGCTCCTCCGAGTAACGAAAGGCTCGCCTGACATTCAGGAACCTCCGGGATCCTAAGAGCTCCCTGCTGGGAATGAGGACAAAGACCAGACAGGCTTTTTCTTCTACCACCAGAGATGCCGCTTGTTCTCACTCTGTGCCCCTGGTTGGCCTCATAACAACCTGTAAATTAAAACCCCCAACACTGCCATGTTCACATCCTCGTAGAATGACATGGAAATGCTTCAAGGGAAAGCTGTTCTGATGCGGCACTGGGTTAATAGGAAGCGACTGCCTCTCACGGAAAGAGGCAGCCATGTGGAACTATCAGAAAACAGCAGGAGTGTCTCAAGCACACAGGGGCCTTGGAGGAGGCGGCACAGACATGGCTCTCAGTGCCGGACGCTAACCCCACATGTGGAGGCCCCATGAGCCCCAGCCAGCTGGAAAAACGGCCGCAATCTCCTTAAGACAAGATCCCGGCCTGAGCCGTCCTTGGTCATCCACCTGGACAGCATGACAGATGCCGCGTCCCTCATTATGAAAGGCGGGGGCTCAGGGCAGCAGCCATGATCAAGAAGTCAAACACTAAAGGCAAACGTTTTGCCAGAGGTGGCTGGTGGAACGTGATCCTGGGGGCAGAGCAGTGGCGGTGAGAGTGCACTTTGAAGGCGCAGGGGCCACCATGCCTGGGAAAGACAGCTTTGCAATGGACCTAAACAAAGCGCGGCCAATGAGGCAAAGGACATCCGTCACCAGGGTGAAACAGACAAGCTACGGGACACGGTCAGCTGGAAGGCGGGATGGCATCCGGGACGGCATCCGTGAATGTGCACAGAATAGATTCTTAACGCTGTGGTTTTTCAGATGTCATATTCCAGAGTGAGTTAAAATGAAATTAGTGATGAGAGGTAGAATTTCCATATTTATCTGCCTCTGGGCTGAAATTTCTCAGGCTAAGGAGAAAGTGGTGCTAAGAACCTAACATTGACAAGCTGGAAAATAATTAAGATGGGAATCAAAGTACCACTTCCTCATCACACACCTGCGGCAAGCAGGTTCCCTCTATCTGTCTCCGCTTGAGAATCTATTTTTGGAAACCCTGCTGGATGGGGACGGCAGTACTGAGTGTCCTCAAACGGCATTTAATCGGCGCTGGGGCTGCAGACCAGACGCACACTGAGAGGGAGGCTAAGGAGCGTGGGTACCTCCGTGTCCTCACCAGCAGGTGATGTGCCCCAGCGCGCTCCACGCACCCACGGTCAACTGCAGTGACCACATCAGTCTTGCAAGGAGTCCCGTTCGCGCCGACTGGACCCAGCGCGAACTGAGCATTGTTTGAGACTCAGGGTCCGCCCATGGGAGGAGCAGGGCTCAGACAGACAGGGCTTTTGCTTTTCAGAACCCGCCTCGCGTCAGGCAGGTAGGTGTGTCTAACCAGAAACCTGGCCTTCCGGAGCCAAAGGAACCTCACTTTCACCCGGAGGGCCCAGGCCCCCCACTTCACGCGTGGGGAAATGGCCTCAAGGGTTGTGCAGTTTCCCAGGATCATGGAGTGGGCACCAGCCGGAACCCAGTTCATCTCAACCAAACCAGCGGCTTGTCTAAAGCTGGACCTTGAGCAAACAGGTGCCCACAAAGACCAGTGCCCTCCTCACAACACTGCCACACAAGAAAGGAGGTGGCTTGAGCCAGTAAAGACAGCATGTGAAAGCCCCACGCACAGGCTCCTGAACTGGGAGGGGAAGGGAGTGGGGAGGAAGTGTGGTTGCACCCTTGGGAACCGCCTGGGACCACCTAGTCCTGCCCAGGTTGGGGTGAAAGGGTGTCTCTTGAAGGTTTCACTTGCCTTTTCCAGATGACCAATGGCACTAACCATCTTCTTACATGTTTATTGGCTTTTTCATCGGCTATTTTGGATTCATGTCTTTTTGACCCGTTTTTTCCCCCGGTTGGGTTGTCTTTTGCTTACTGATTCAGAGGAATTCTTTACAAATTCTGAACATTAGTCCTCTGTCAATTAAATGCTGCAGGTATCTTCTCCAAGGTCCTATTTCTCAATCGTTCAAAGCTTCTGCTTTTATGTCAGGTTCAAGAAACTCTTCTCTTCCTGGAGGCTGCAGAGATATTTTAACATATTTTTACCCTGAAACTGTGCACTGTTCCCT